CTGGTTCCATTCCTGATTTGCCATTCTAAATCTAAGAGTTCCTCTATGTAGCCAAGGAATTCCCAGCTTCTGGGCTGGGGCTTTTGGCTCAAGTGCCTGCCTAATAAGTGCAAAAGTGTAAGACCCTGAATTCAAACCTCAGTGTCATCAAAAAAAAAAAAAAGGGGATTCCCAGCTTCAGCCTATGTCATGGCACTCTAAGTAGGTGCTACCTTGCCTCCCCATGTGAATGAAAACAAGTCTATGAGTTTACAAATTTAGGGGAAATCCACAATTCTTATTTTATAATTTCTAAGTACCGAATTGTATTTGCAATTAGTTGGGAATTCTCTCTGACTTCAGTAGTTCTGTTTAACCTATTTTCTTAAAGGTATAGCACATAGAAACAGGTCAATAGAAATGTATTCCAGCTGAACATTTTTAGGTTGTTCCCAAGTCAGACTGTGTCCAATTGGTAGGTTTGTAACCATGTTGCCAAAATGTCTTCAGTTTTGGAACAGGAATTGACAAGTCTTAGCCCAAGTCTTTTCAGATGCATTGTATCTGATAAATGTGAAAAGAAACTACCTCAGGTATAGTAGAACTGTTGTGTTGCCCGCCCTTCTGTGTCTAATGCCTGTGCTTTGCATAGCCCCTCCTCCTAGGTCTGGATGGAGGATACTTTAAAGTGAAATGACAGACCAGGAGAATAACAACAACATCTCAAGTAACCCCTTTGCTGCTCTTTTTGGCTCCCTGGCTGATGCCAAGCAGTTTGCAGCAATCCAAAAAGAGCAGCTGAAGCAGCAATCTGGTAAGTAGAGGAGCCAATAGCACCAGATGACATGACCTAGAATGGAGTCCTCCCAAATTAACTATTCTTGAGGCACTTAATTGCAGTTGGAATTTAAGCTTGTTATTTTGCATGTCTACTTGTTTAGGGCAGAAGTTTTTTTTTGGTTATTGGATTTATTTGGGGGCCTTTCCCTTCTCTGTCCTTCCCCCCACCCCACCCCACTCCCCATATAAAAAGAGGCTGGATAACAGGTGGTTTCATAGGAACAGATGCCAGTTGTAATCCCAAAGCTGTCAAACGGTTCTGTTTATTTATTTATTGAAATCACCTAGTAATAACTTTTTAAATAAATCACCTTTTTCACATAGGAAACCAGGGTGGGAAGTATAGGTGTGGAAAACAAGTCACATGCAGCTGTAGAAAGCAGAGGTAAAAGGAATAATTATAAAGGCTTTTTGACCTTCTGACAAAAGAGATTTATTCTTAAGCTCAGCGTTTCACAGACCCTTTCAGATAAAGTGCCTCCTCCATTCCGGTGTGTGGCCTCTTTTGTACCTTCCTGCTATTAGGAGAAACTTCTAGGAATGTAACCCTTAACTTTAATGTGGAAAAAAAAATCAAAATAATCTCTCACTAATTAGAAAAAAATGGTTTTTCCTCATCTGGAATCAAATTTCAGATCAAGTCCAGCTTCCTCCTATCAGAAGACCCGGACTCGGGGAGCTGGGATGATGTTCCCCAACTGTGTTAATCCTCCGAGGACGTTCAGTCTTTCAGACCAGAAGTTTCTTCCCTTTTCCTTTCTCCAAAAAGAAGAATAGTGGGCGTGGCGGGGTTGAAAAAAATGAAATGTTTGCATTTTCCCTATATTTTTATTTTATTTATTTTTTTTTATTTGAAAATATTCAGGGGCAAGAGGCATGGCTCAAGTGGTAGAGCAAGTGCATGGCCGCGAGTTCAACCCCAGTAACATCGAGAAAAAAAAAATTAGATACATAGCTGAGTTGTGGCCTTGCTTTGTGATTAGGATTGAATAAAGAGGAGGTAAAGGCAGTGGTTGACAAGGTGACAAATGAAGCAAGAGAAAAAATAAGTGCATGCTGACTTTTTAATAGGGTGTAAACAGACATAAGGCTGACTGGAGCTGAGAGCATTGCACGTACCAGGAAGTGTGAACACAGCAGACGCATGCCCTTCTGTTACTGTTTTAGCACCTCACCTTCTTAGTTTGTTTACACTGAGTTTATCATGCCACCAGGTTCAACTTTTTGGCCACTAGCAATTAGTGCTCTGCCAGAATCTTTAGCTCCCTTACTGAGCTTCACTTTTACTAAATTCACTGTACTGAAGCAACTCTTAATTTCTGAGAGTTTTGCCTCAACTTTCAGAATAATCATTCTGTTGACAGAGAAAACCAGATACAGACTCACATGTGGCTTTTATTGAATAGCACTACTTTTAAACACGACGCCATTCTGAGAGCAGTCTTCAGTTGCTTTACAGAAAATTGAAGGGATTCAGATAATAAGAAAAAAGTAAACTAAAGAGGAAAAAATAGAGCAAAAGATGTGACAACTTAAATATGATAATCAAATGATGAAAAAAATCCTGTCTTGCTGATCATTAGAAAAATGCCTATTAAAACAACAATTATGATGCAAAAACTCCAGTCTTGCTAATCATTAGAAAAATGCCTATTAAAACAACAATTAGAGCTGAGTGCTGGTGACTCTCGCCTATAATCCTGGCCATTCAGGGGGAGAGGTCAGGAGGATCATGGTTCGGAGCCAACCCAGGCAAATAATTCACAAGTCCCTATCTCAAAAAAACCCATCACGAAAAAGGGCTGGTGGAGTGGCTCAAGGGATAGGCCTTGAGTTCAAACTGTAGCACCACAAAAAATAAACAGCAAAACAAGCAATAGCAATTAGATCTTTTTTTTTTATTTTTTATTGTTTTGTTTTGTATTGTGGAACTGTGGTTTGAACTAAGGGGTTTCCCACTTGTTAAGCAGGTGCTCTGCCACTTGAACCATGCTTCTAGCCCCAAATCATTTCTTAGCTAAGACTTTTATGAAGATTTGAACAGACATACACTCCTGTGCAAGCATGCAAATCAGCAGTCTCTGAGGGCAACCTGGTAGTGTGTGTTAACTTGTAAACATGCCCTTTGAACCAGCAATTCTGCTTATATGAATTTATCCTACTGAAATACTCAATCCAAGCGAACAAAAATAAAGTTACATTCAATGCGGTACAGTTTAAAATCATAAAAAATTAGAAACAATCCTAGTTTCATCAGTTGATGAACAGACACGGAGTTTAAGTTGCTACTACATAAGTCACAGTGCATGCAAACATTGTCATACAGTGAAGCTATTAAAAGGAATGAGGCAGGCCTCTGAATGCCTAACAGGAAAAGGTGTTGGTGCTGATAAAGTTGAAAGGCCTACTGAAAAGCACAGTGTATTCTATGAACTCGTTTTTTTAAAAATTAAAAATCATGGTAATGAATATTAGCACAAGAATTAGGAAAAAGCTGACCGCTGCTAAGTGAAGTGGTTGACTGCAGGGAATTGGTTCTAGGAGTCTTTCTACATGATATTTTTCTATACAGTTTAGAATTATTAAGACAAATGTGTTCTCTGGGAAAAAGCCCTGCATTTTAAATAATTACAGAGATTTTGATCTGTTTGATAATTCTTTATTCAATAGGATTCTGTAGGGAAGGTGATGTTGCTATTTTTGGCTGTACATATAGTACATATTATAATTATGGGTAGATAAGGTAAGATTTATAGCCAGGGATTTCAGAATCCTCGACTTAAATTGCCTGATTTGTGATATTCACTAATTAGATGATTTATTTGTTTCACATCTGAAATTATCCCCTCTTGTCATGTCTGTCATTTTGGTAGTGTACTTGATTCTCTCTAAAAGAAGGGACTGTGAAGTTTAACAGCTACATGTTCTGGCAGATGAACTCCCAGCTAGCCCAGATGACTCGGACAATAGTGTGTCAGAGAGCCTGGATGAATTTGATTACTCCGTGGCTGAGATCAGCCGCTCTTTCCGATCACAGCAAGAAATATGTGAGCAACTCAACATCAATCACATGATCCAGAGAATCTTCCTCATCACTCTGGACAACAGTGAGTTACAGGCTTATAGCCAGTCTGTTGATTATTCTACCCTTTCTTCTCGGGCTTGCGCTAGAGACATCTTTGGCTCTTAGAAATCTATTGCATCCAGTGGTGAAACCCACACCACAGTACTCCCTGGAACACAAGTTTATATTTCACCAGAGCATTTGTTGTGACCTAAAATCAGTAAGTAGACAAATCTAACTTTTGTTCCTATTTTGATACTCATTGGGCCATATAACTGCTTGCCACTACTACCTGAAAGGAGAAGTGGAAATAGTAGTTAAACCCACTTTCTTCTCAGATGGAAGCCCTGAGAGGTGTCACACAAGGTTTTCCCTCTGTCTCCCATCTGTAATTAAATCCTAAAATTAGCAGTGATACCTGGGATTTCTTTTTCTTGGCAGTACTGGAGTTTGGACTTGGCATCATGCTTGCTAGGCAAGCATTTTGCTACTTGAGCCACTCCTTCAGCCCTTATTTGCTTTTAGTTATTCTTCAGATAGGGTCTTATGCTTTTTGCCCAGGCCAGCCTCAGACTGCAGTCCTCCTACCTATTCTTCCTGTGTAGCTGGGATTACAGGTGTATACTACCGGGCCTGGTTTATTTTTTGAGATTGCTGTTTTGCTAGCTTTCCAGACTAGCCTTGAAGTTTGATCCTCCCAGTCTCCACCTCCTGAGTAACCGGGATTATGTAGGCATGTACCACATGCCAAGTCCTGAGATTCACTCTTTAAATGTCATGATGACAGTCCTCTAACAAAGCCTATGTTCTGTAACTTGAAGGTAATGGGGTGCATATTGCTTTGTGTATCAAGATCATTCTGGTATTACCTGAATCAAACTTGAAGTTCAAGAGAAATCCTGTTAAGATCAGTTGTTAGAGTGGGACACAGTTGTGCCCACCTGTAGTCCTAGCTCCTGGGGAGGCTGAAGCAGGAGTACTGCTTGAACCTAAGGAGTTCGAGGCCAGCCTAGGCAACATAGCAAGACTCTGTGTCCAAAGAAAAAAAAAAAAAGAAAAAATCAGTTATCTGTATAAGGCCAGGCGCATTGTCCTTAACCTATCAGATTAAAACCATTTCCCAGGTGATCCAAGCTTGAAAAGTGGGAATGGCATCCCCAGCCGTTGTGTGTATTTGGAAGAAATGGCAGTGGAGCTGGAAGATCAAGATTGGCTTGATATGAGCAACATTGAGCAGGTACCATTCTCACGTTCCTAACAGGTGCCCTCATTAGCCACGCAGCTGAATCCTGTCCATCGTGCTCCAACTGTGACTTGCTACCCTCCATCCCTTCCATTGTTTGTGGTGTTCCTGTTTTAGAGTCTCCTCATCTATTCTGGTCACGTGTCCAGCTCTATCCATCATTTTAAGATCCAGTCAAAAATGCCTTCGAAGCTTGCCAGATAGGAATTGCTGTCCTTAATCCATCTATACATCTTAAGGGAATTGTCACTTTCTGTCTCATGTTATATCTTTTTTATGTACCTGTCTTACCTTCTCTATTATCCTCTTAAATTCCTTAGGATAAGCCCATTTCTTTTTTCTTTATAAACTTTCAGAAATCAAAACATTCCCATGTTGGCTGACTTTCCATTACTATAATACCTAAAATGATCAACTTATAAAAAGTTTATTTTGCACCCAGTTTTGAATGTTCTAGTCCATGACCCATTGGTTTCAGTGTTTTGGGCCTATGACAAGGCAGCACATCATGGGAGCATATGGTAGAACAAAACCACTTACATCACAAACCAAGGAGGAAAGAGAAGGAAGAGACCAGGGTCCCAAAATCCCTTTCAAGGACACATCCCTAATCATATGCCCTAAGGATCTTTCATTATGCCCCATCTCCTAAAAGTTTTACCACTTCCCCGTATCACCACACTGATAATTAAGCCTTTAATAAATGGGCTTTTGGGGGATATTCAAGGTCCATGTTATGGAAAATACCCTGTACTTTTCAAGTACCTGATTAACATTACAGAAATAAAAGTTTGGTAGGTAGCCAGGTTTGGTGGTGCTCACTTAAAATCTCTGCTACTTGGGAGGTAGAGGCAGGAGGATCATAAGTTCAGAGCAGCCTAAGCAAAGTTAAAATTAGTGAGACCCTATCTCAAAAACAAAATATAAACAAAAAAACTGGAGAAGTGGTTCAAGTGATAGAGAGCTTGCCTAGCATGCAGAAAGCCTTGGTTTTAATCCCTAGTAAGGTGGAGGGGGAGGAGGGTAGTGCATTTTGGTGGGAAAGACCTGGACAACTTGGTGGAATTTAACTTTACATATGTATCTTTACAGAAGACCAGCAATCACACAGAATAGTGTGATTTCACATATAAGTTTAATCACTGATTCTAAACACCATTCAACAAGTAGTCTTTTAATGTGTACTTTGTGCTGGGGCTATACCAGATCTTGAGGCTTGATTTAGCATAGCTATTTATACAATTGTTTTTTAAAGTAGTAAAATACTGGGTCCTTTTTTCCCCCCTTTACTCTAAACCAAGTCTGTGATTCTTGAAATAACCTGTATGAAAATTACATCTTGATGTTCTAAGATTACCTGTGCAATAGTTTAGTGTTTCTTTTTGCTCATTTTTTCTTAATAGGCCATCTTCTCTCGACTATTGCTTCAAGATCCAGGAAACCACTTAATTAACATGACTTCTTCTACAACGTTAAATCTCTCTGCTGATCGAGATGCAGGGGAGAGGCACATTTTTTGTTACCTTTACTCCTGCTTCCAGAGAGCTAAAGAAGAGGTAAAGGGATAATCCCCATCAAATACTATTGTCCTCTTAGGTCTAACTTCAGTATATACCTCAGAGTTAGATCAGTGTCTGTTATATCAATTTATATATCACAGTATATGTGCATTTGGGTATCAGAAGCACTATGAGATTGCCTTGAAAAGCTTTGTTCTCCTTCTGTGACTTTCAGTGAACCAGTGTCTCCTATTCTCTTTATAAACCTCTTTAGAAATCATATCCTTTTTAAAAAAAAAGAAGAAGAAGAAGGCTGGGCACCAGTGGCTCAACACCTGTAATCCTAGCTACTCAGGAAGCAGAGATCAGGAGAATCATGGTTCAAAGCCAGCCTGGGCAAATAGTTTGTGAGAACCTATCTTGAAAAAAACCATCCCATAAAAGGGCTGGCAGAATAGCTCCTGAGTTCAAACCCCAGTACCAAAAAAAAAAAAAGGAAAGAAAGAAAGAAAAGAATTCTGATGAAGTCATTTCCAGGTATAAATGCTAGAGTAGGCTAAGCTTAACATTTCCAAGAATGGAACTTTAACAGGTGATTACTTAAGCCAAAGAGTGAGTCTGTCAAAAAGTTTCAAGCATCCACAAGAGACCAGTATTGTTTTGAGACATGGTGTCTTTTCCATTCTATTTGCTATGTCTACCCTTGTTCCAGGTCATAGAAGCTATACACTACCCTCTCTTCATGCTGTTTGCAGATTACCAAAGTTCCAGAGAACCTGTTACCCTTTGCAGTGCAGTGCAGAAACCTCACTGTGTCTAATACCCGAACAGTTCTCCTCACCCCAGAGATCTATGTTGACCAAAACATCCATGAGCAACTGGTAGATTTGATGTTGGAAGCTATCCAAGGAGCCCGTGAGTACACACACAAGATTTTTAAGGGCTGAAGGCATGGCTCAGGTGGTATAGCACCTACCTAGCAAGTGTGAGGCTCTTTGAGCTTCTACATTTTGATTTCCAAACTTAAAATTCCTCTCACTGTATTAGAAAGTCTCAGAGCCATTATGGTTTTGTCATAAATTAAGGAGGAGTTGCATATACCTTGGTCTTTGGGATTGAATATCAGTAGAATTGTCAAAAGCAGCAGAAAAAATAAAGAACCAGTGTGTGGGAGTGGGGGTGTATCTCAGTTGTAGAGCACTTTCCTAGCATACACAAGGCCCTGGGTTTGATCTCGAGGATCACAGGAAAAGAAAGAGAAAAACAGTACATAAATGCATTAAAAAAGAAAAAAAAATCCCCATGGCCACCTTTCTCTCATTTGTCTTCTGTTAGATTTTGAAGATGTAACTGAGTTTCTGGAAGAGGTCATTGAAGCCTTGCTACTGGATGAGGAAGTTCGAACATTTCCTGAAGTCATGATTCCAGTGTTTGATATTTTATTGGGCCGAATAAAAGATCTGGAGCTCTGCCAGATCCTGTTATATGCATATCTGGATATTCTTCTCTATTTCACTAGGCAAAAGGATATGGCAAAGGTAGGTCTAAAAAGTAGTATATGTTTGTTGGGCTTCCCTCCCCTGAGGGCACTATAATATTGCCTATAGAATGAGAGAGATGGATTAATTGTTGTATATGCTTAACTCTCTGAAACCCTTGTACCCCATCACCTTCATCTCTCCTTACGGACAAATAAGTAAGACTTGTCTTCTCCTACAGGTTTTTGTAGAATATATTCAGCCCAAGGACCCTAGCAATGGGCAGATGTATCAGAAGACCTTGCTGGGAGTCATTCTGAATATCTCCTGCTTATTAAAGACTCCAGGAGTGGTAGAAAATCATGGCTACTTCCTGAATCCATCTCGTTCCAGTCCTCAGGAGATCAAAGTACAGGAGGCCAACATCCATCAGGTGGAACTATTTCCCAGGATATCCTAGTCCCAAATTTTAGTTTGAGTAGAGTTTCCTTGGGAACTATATACAGATAGGGCTCCTTGAGCCTCTTTGAGAAAGCAAATTGGTTTGGTTGGCTTTTGCCATAATGATGTAAAGAAATTCCCTCTTTGTAGCATTCACTAAGAACAGAAGATAAACTTCCATGCCAGTGCAACTCTTGCCCTATACGCTAAGTAGCACTGCCATGTCCCCTCAACCCTTACTCTTCTCACCAAGCTATATCTTTTTTTTTTTAATTGTTTTTTGTTGGTACTAGGATTTGAACTCAGAGCTTTACATTTGCAAAGCAGGTGCTGTACTGCTTGAGCCACTCCTCCAGTCTGTTTTGCTTTGGCTATTTTGGAGATGGGGCCTGGTAAACTATTTGCCCAGGCTGGCCTCAAACAGTAATCTTCCTGATCTTTTCTCCCAGGATTATAGTTCTGAGCCACCAGTGCCCGGCTACCAAGCTATTTCTTATCACTTAGCTCTGAAAATTTTTTTACTGAACTCCAGCTTACAAACCTTTTTTTTTTTTTTTTTTAAAGGCATACTGGGATTTGAACTCAGGGCCTCATGCTTATTAGGCAGGCTACTCTACTACTTGAACCACTCCACCAGCATGAACCCATTTTTTTTTTCTGTTCTTCCTACCACCTATACCCTCTCTTCCTGAGCCTCTTAGCGTAAATGATAGTAGAGATCTGACCAGCATGATGCAATTTAAATGGCTACTTTACTACTTGAGCCACTCCACCAGCATGAACCCATTTTTTTTTTCTGTTCTTCCTACCACCTATACCCTCTCTTCCTGAGCCTCTTAGCGTAAATGATAATAGAGATCTGACCAGCATGATGCAATTTAAATGGCTACTTTACTACTTGAGCCAACAGTTTTTTTTTTCTATTCTTCCTACCACTATACCCTCTCTTCCTGAGCCTCTTAGCATAATGATAATAGAGATCTGACCAACATGATGCAATTTAGATGGCTGAATTGGAAACAGTTTAAGTCTCCTATTCACTGTATAATCATCACAACTCTGTCAAACAGCTATTGGCAAACTATAGCAGAGGTCAAATCGAACCTGCCACCTATTTTTGTAGATTAGGTCTGATTAAACACATATATGTCCATTTGTATATGTATTGTTTATGGCTTGATTTCATGCTACAGGGGTAAAATTGAATAATTGCTGCTGAGACCCATATGATAAGCAAAGCCAAAAATGTTTATCAAGTACTTTGCAGAAAAAGTTTATGAACCCCTGCTATAAAAGTAAGTAATGCTGTCTTCAGTTTGGCAGTTGATTAAAAGTCTTTCATGAGTGCCCAGAAATAATACGGTTTTAAAAATCAGAATCAGGATAAGGCACAAAGAGAGTGAGGGGAAAGATTAGGATTCACATATTTTTAGAAACTGCCAGTTGCTAAGATTTGGAAGTTAAAAAAATATTAGGACTGTGAAGCAAATGTTCTGTGGTTGTGTTTTCTGGTTAAACAGTTCATGGCTCAGTTCCATGAAAAGATCTACCAGATGCTGAAGAACTTGCTCCAGCTCTCTCCAGAAACCAAACACTGTATCTTGTCCTGGCTTGGAAACTGTTTGCATGCAAATGCAGGCCGCACCAAGATTTGGGCCAATCAGATGCCGGAAATCTTCTTCCAAATGTATGCTTCGGATGCCTTCTTTCTAAATCTGGGTGCTGCTCTCCTGAAGCTGTGCCAGCCATTTTGCAAACCCAGATCCTCTCGGCTCCTCACCTTTAATCCTACTTACTGTGCCCTGAAGGAGTTGAATGATGAAGAACGAAAAATTAAAAATGTACACATGAGAGGTAGGGAGGAACTGGGCTTCTTAAAACAATTTGTGTGTGTGTGTGTGTGTGTGTGTGTGTGTGTGTGCATGTAACACCCCTTATTCTTTGAGAAAAAGGGCCTCTTAATAAAGATGAAGCAGCTTGAAGAGCTATTTAAAGTTTTTTAAAGACAGATTTTAAAAAAGAAAAAAAACAACTGGTAGCTTTTAAATGTTGTGCGTTATTGAGACCTCCTCTCTGGATTTGGCAGCCTTGTGTGTTCATTCATTCTTTAGAAAAGTGAGGCTCTAGAAGAAGGCAGGTATGTCAGTAGATAATGTGGCATAGTACTAAATTGTAGGGGCACCGAGGAGGGAGTGAATAATCAATACTGCATAAGTTGGAGGTCTTCATAGCTGAGTCTTGAAAGGTAAGTTTCATTTTACCAGGCAGAGGAGCAAGGAAGTTTCTTGAAAGGGAATTACAAGGATAGAGGTATAAAACTGTGGAAAGTCTTGACTAACGAATAGTGAGAAGTTCCATGTGGCTAGAGCAAAATAGGGGATGAAGAGAAAGGGAAGTAAGAGAAGTGGGTAGGAAAAAGATTGGGGCCAGATGTGTTGAACAGTTATCAGAGAAGAGAAAAGAAGAAAATAACTGACTTAATGGTTCTACCACTCAGAATCAATCACTCTTAATTTTGATGTATTTCATTCTAGTTTTATAACTTATAAAAAGTGATACCTGCTCAAAAACAAATCTTAAATACAAAAAAACACAGAATAAATGTAAATGATTCATTAACTGTCACTTGGAAAAATTTACAATATTATCATTCCTTTTAAATATTGGTGATTTCATTGGTCAAATGAGAATTTAACTATTCCTGCAGACAGCAAGAAGCCAAAAGATGTTTTTATTCAAGGAAGTAACGTGAAGAGATTTGTTTTGTAGACAATATCGCTGGAAGCTGAAAGAAAGTAAGGGGAGACTGGAGACCAAAATATATGTCTATGGCAAGTCATTTACCATTCCTTTTAACTTCTTTGAGGTTTGGACAAAGAAACTTGTTTGATCCCAGCTGTGCAAGAGCCAAAGTTTCCCCAGAACTACAACCTTGTAACAGAGAACCTTGCCCTGACAGAGTACACCTTGTATTTGGGATTTCACAGGTAACTCCTTTGATGTCATTAGAAAAGAACTATTTGGAAAAAAAAAGAAAAGAAAAGAACTATTTGGAAAAGAACTATTTCGTTGTGTTCATAACCAGAAGGTTGAAAGTGAGCCTTCGAGATTTATTCTAAAGACTTACGTTCGAATCTAGTGGGGAAAGGATATTGTATGCCTTTATTTCTATTTACATGAATCCACTTTGTCCAAGTTATTTAAATTTGTTTTTAATTTTTGACCTGTTAAATTTTTACTATTAAGGGTGTGCTAATATTTTTCTCCACATTTTGCAAATTTTTAGATCATGGTCTTCTGTCATCATCTAAGAAAATGAAATTATTTTCCTTTTATGTTTTACTTTCTGCTCCCAAATTTTCATTACTTACTACTCTCATGAAAAGAGACCAGGCTGTACTTTGGCAAAAATGAAGACAATGTTAAGAAATTTCAAAAGACCAATATGACCACAAAAGATCTAATTACCTAAAATAAAAAGGATTCTAGAACTGTGCAGGTTTGAGAACTAGTATGTATAGTATGTGCAACTTGCAAAGATGGGTCTAGTCCTTTCACTTAGCTGAGTGTGATTACCAAAATAAATAAGGAAACAAACAGCAACTCAGTCATACTTCTGCTCAATAGGAAGGGTTCTTAATGCCTTTTTAAGTGATTTTTTAGTGTCTCCTCTGAATAACACATGACATTTTTCAGAACTCCTCAGACAGCAAGCTACTGGTAAAAATAAAAATATGTCTTTATTAGAGAGTTTTTCTATCCCCATCATTGACATTGTAATGAAACAATAGTTAGAACAATAGTTAGAAGTTTCCTGTGTCCTAATCTGTTTAATAATCAAACACAACAGTGAACACCATCTAGCTTCCTAGTAGGTAGCTCTCCACACTGTCAGTAAGATCAAATAAAATGATTTTGGACCATACTCATAGAATCAATTATCCATAGCTTTGAATTCTAGGTCTTCCTTTCAGTAGAGACTATTTGGGTGAGCCTTTGTGAAGATTAATTTTACATTAAACAACAAAGAGCCAGAAGCTGTTTTTAGGTTGCATCCCAGGTGGTGACTAGTTTATAAGTGGTCATTACTAATCTAGAGTCCCTTTTCATCTGCTTAGTTTTCTGCTAACTGTACGGACCATCCATAATACCCCATCAATGCATGATCATTGCACTGTGTCCTGTAAACTATTGTGCTGTGCTTCTTGTACTTTGCCTAGTAACTATTTACCTTATGTAGTAACAGGCCACTCTGCACCCCACATAACCAAGCTACTGCTCTTTGGATGATGCATTTCAGCTAACTATTTATAATTAGCTACAGTTGTGTTGAATCTTGGAAATATTTTCCCAGTGCTATGTACCTTGCCTCTGTCCTGTGACTTCTGTGATTCCTTTTGTGACTTCTGTGACCTGCAACTCTACATCCTTAAAGAGAAGACTACAATAAGTAAAGGAATATTTGTTCTTCTGGAATGGTCTATAATAGACTGTTCTCATATGAGCCTCCCTGACCCAGTCTCTTCTGCTTTCTTGGGGGCAGGTTGCATGATCAGATGGTAAAAATCAACCAAAATCTGCATCGGCTGCAGGTTGCCTGGCGGGATGCTCAGCAGAGTTCTAGCCCTGCTGCTGACAGTCTCCGTGAGCAGTTTGAACGACTGATGACCATCTATCTTTCTACTAAGACGGCCATGACTGAGCCACAGATGCTGCAGAACTGTCTAAATTTGCAGGTGTCCATGGCTGTTCTACTTGTTCAACTGGCCATAGGCAATGAGGGCTCACAGCCAATAGAGCTAACTTTTCCTTTGCCAGATGGCTACAGTTCTTTGGCTTATGTGCCAGGTAAGCAGACTTTCCCTTGGGAAGTTCCTATTTATAGCAGTCTAAGTTTAACTGGGTCGCCTTAGAAGTTTAATCCTCAAAATACCCTTCCGTAGTTATCATTCCATTGTCTTTGGAGAAACAAGCAAACTCATGAATAATATCTTCCTCAGAGTATGAGGGCCCTAAGAGTTTGCTACTTGGTGTGTGGCTCTCATTCTATGCAGATCAGAAAGCAACACTAAAAAGATAAAATGCAGTCAGAGTTTTCATAGCTGTTAGTTTCTATCACTAATATTGCTTTATTGTTCAACTCATAAATTTGTCTATCCCTAAGCTTTTTTTTTTTCCCTTTTGGTGGTACTGGGGTTTGCCAGGGGCCTCATACTTGCTAGGCAGGCATTCTACCACTTGAGCCACTCTGACAGCCCTATCCATAACTTTTTTAGAAAAAAAGATCATCTCCAGTCCTGTTAACCCAAGGGGAGATTGTGTATGTTTATATGTATGTCAGTGAGGAATCAGCAAATACTATCCATTTAACTATCAGGTTAAATGTGTGTGATCACTGTATTGGTTACATATTGCTGTGTAACAAATTATTCCAAAAAAAAATATAGCAGCTTACAACAACAAATGTTGTCTCACACAGTTTCTGTGGGTCAGGAATCCAGGCACACTTTGACTACATGGTTTTCTGATTCAGAGTGCCTCATGAGGTTGCAGCCAAGCTGGTCAGTTTGGCTATAGGAAATTGCGGATCCACTTACAAGCCCAGTCATGTTGGTTTGTTGACAGACCTCAGTGTGCTTGCACTATTGGCCACAGTCTCTTTTCCAAGGCCCCCACACATCCTTCTTAGCACCACCATTTGAGATAGCAAGCTGCTTCTTCCTAGCACATAAGTGATCAAGATGGAACTGCGAGTTTTTTATGACCTAATGTTAGAAATGACATACACCATCGCTTCTGCTATATACTTCCAGGTGTAATCTTCTACCCTTGGAAAATGTAGGAAAGACGTGTGATGGCACAGTCCCTAATATCACCCAGCACTCCGAGGTAGACGGCAAGGAGGATCTGAGCACAAGGCCAGCCTAAGCTTACATAGTCGCATTCAAGCTAGTTCCTGGGCCAGAAAGTGAGGCCCTGTCCTCAAAAAAAACAAGAAGAGATAGATGTAGGAAGGGACGTTCAAGGGCATGAAATACCAGGACGTGATGGAAAGGATCACTGAAGATCATCCTGGACGCATGGCTACCACAGTCATGTAATGTTGCAATCTTGATTAGTTGCATCTTCAGATACCTAAAGGGTTGCTTACCATGTCAGAGCTGCAAACATTCAGAAGACTTCTAAACCAAAAGAAAAAACAAGCTTGAATCATAGAAGGGTTGCCTTCAGAAGTTATGTTAACATTAGTGAATCACCTGACCACGCTTAGGGGTAGCCAGAAACCCCACTGTTGAGATGTATAATAAGCAAAAGACATGCACAGAGAATTTAACCTGTTCATAAGGTACCTGTAGGAATTCCACTGCTAGTCCCTGGGTGAAAATAGTTACCAGAGTGCCAGAAATCTCACCAATGGCACCAGATGCTAACGCTCTTCTACTGATCATGTGATGCCAAAACTGCTCGTTGCTTTCGGAGTTGAATAACCAGTAAGACCTAGTCAGTGTTACTTACTTTTAACTTTCTCACTCCAAGCTTCTAGTACTCTTTCCCAAGAGAAGTACTGTGCTTTAGAATTGCTTCCCTGATTTTTTTTGGTGCTTAGGCCAAAGAGAAAAAGAAAGTCCTGTGTACAATGCACGTTGCTGCAACATAAAGAGAGTGACTCCACAATGCCCGACCATAATCAGTTGGAGCTGATGGGAAGCCAGCCTTTCACTGGAAACTGAGCAAATTGAATGAGAAGTCATATTCAACAAGTGTTGAATTAAGGACAACTGAAATGAATGTGGGTAATATAAGATAATTGTAGACAAATCTTTATGCCCAATAAGCCTTGGGAAAGCAGCTTATCCAGAATAAAACTGTAAATAATGCGTTATATGGGGGAAGAATAGTTGAATGGGGCCTAAGCATAAATGGAAACTCCACTCTCATTTTTTGGTAAAGGTGTCATCTCAGGCAATTAATGGTGTAATCCTGCAGCAGACCCAGGATTACAGAACTTAAACCTGCAGAAGGTGAATCCTGGGTGGGTGTGTGTGTGTTGTGGGGTGTGGGTGTGGTGTTGGGTGTGTGTTTATTAGGATTGAATCCAGCACCCTTGCTCTTGATAGGCAAGACTTACCAGAACTCTACCAACGAAGAGGACCCCAGCCCTCTTGCGTTTCTCATAATGGTGATATTGGACAGTGTTGGTGCGCCTCATAATAGAGAGAAACGAAGTCAAATGTTGGAGTGAATTACCCTGCTTATCCTGCTTTGTCCTCTCGGCAGATAAGATCCCCACTTTAAGGGCCAAACAGCTGAAGGTGTTAGAAGCAGTGATGACTCACCTAGATCAACCCCAGTCGCGGGTATCCAGTGGTCCCACCGGAAACGGTGTTCTGCAATTTTCCATAGGCACCTCAGCTTGCAGAAGCTCTAATCAAGGTTTTTGTGGATTTTGAATTTACAGGGAAAGCAGTCGTTGCAGCCAGGGCCAGACTGATAACCCATGGGAGTTTGATAGCTTGGATCACTTTTTGAAAGGTCAAGGCCATCATGTTATTGAACACCTGTTGTGCTGGGCCTTGACACTGAGTGTTTTTCAATATATACTACTAAATATATCACCTGAACAAGTTGGACTTTATTATCCCCCATGTTACCAGGTTCTAAAAATTTTATTATCCATGTCAAAGTAAGTAATAAGTTGTGAATCATATTACAATGTGCGTTAGTCATACTCAAATTAAGTCTAAGCGTAATTAAAATCTAGGTCTGTGAAATAGTGCAGTAAATCTTTCATAGTTAAGTGTCGCAAATGCTGGATACTGGTATCATCAGGCCCATAATTCTAGCTACCGGAGCTGAGATTTGGAAGGATTGCAGTTTGAGACCAGCCCCCGGCAAATAGTGTTGGTAACCCGCATCTCCCAAAATAGAGAGCAAAATATATTGGAGATGTTGCTCAAGTAGTAGAGTACCTGCTTTGCAAAACAGGCACAAATCCTGAGTTTCAGAACCCCAGCCCCTTCTATCCCTGCCCCCAAAAAATCAAATGGCTGCATAGTTTGGAATTGTCCTATAAAGGAAAGTTGGGAATTACTTAGTGTCCCTTTCTGCATAGACTTTCACTGCCCACAATGACCAGTTAGAGACTCATTCACAATAGTCCCACATTGTGGATGTGAAACATTTGTACCGCTTGCCCTGATTTAAAGCTTGAATCTGGCCCTTGCGAATACAGCAGTCCTTATATTGTTTCCCTCTCATTTGTCAGGAAGAAAATGATCAAACCACTTAGCTCAATTCTAAGCCTTTAGAAACTCTTAGGGAAGGCTGGGGGATGTAGCTCAGTTGTCCCTTTCTGCATATGACTTTCACTGCCACAATGACCAGTTCAGAGACTTCATTCACATAGTCCACATTGGATGTGGAAACATTTGTATCCCTTGCCCTTTATTTAAAGCTTGATCCTGGTCCCTTGCTGAATAAGGCATCCTTTATATGTGTTTCCCTCTCATTTTGTCAGGAAGAAAATGATCAAACACTTAGCTCAATTCTAAGCCTTTAGAAACTCTTAGGGAAGGCTGGGGATGTAGCTCAGTAGTAGAGCACTTGCCTAGAATGTGCAAGAGTTTGGGTTCAATCCCTAGCACTGCAAAAGTAAAAAAGTAAGGAAGATTTTGACAACAACCTTGACACATTCAGAATAAAGAAAGGGCACATAAGCTCCAGCTTATTCTCTGGTAAACCATCCTTGCTGATTTCTGGCTCTTGCCTTACTCTAGGAGACCCCCATCAATTTGAACAGAAGTTTAATTATCGTCGTCCCATGTATCCTATCCTAAGATACATGTGGGGGACAGATAACTATCGAGAGAGCATTAAGGTGAGAGAGTTTTTGGTGAGACCAGTTGCTTCAGGTAAGTGCCAGTGAGTTATGATCCAGTACTAAAATAGTTTTCTGGGACTTGCAGGATTTGGCTGACTATGCTTCTAAGAATTTAGAAGCCATGAATCCCCCACTTTTCCTCCGCTTTCTTAACCTGCTAATGAATGATGCCATCTTTCTTTTGGATGAAGCCATACAGGTAAAAAAGAAGAAAAAGGAATTAACTGCTCCTATACCATTAAATCATCATCAGTACACACTTTTGACCTTTAAGATGTAAAAGAGCAATCTTTATGCCCTTAGTACAATCTCGAACACAAAAGTATATGAGTAGTACTAGGTCTCTAAGCTTGCTTGCATCAGAGAGGCTTTCTAGGTTATTTTTCCATTATAGACAAGATCAAGGTCATGAGCTTCATGGCTAGGATATAACTTTTAGCAGAGACTTAAAAAGCCAAATTAAGTGTAGTAGCAGAGTCTCAGGACAGATACTGTAGAACAAAATTAGAGGATCTTATTTTTGGTCAAGAATATGTCAGATTCTCTTGTCACTGACCAAATTACCTTAGAAAAACTGCTAAAGGGAGGAAGATAAATTTGGCTCATGCGTTTCAGATTCAGTCCAAGGTTTGATTGGATCCATTGCTTTGGGCCTGCTGAGCAACGCTGGTCAAGACAGAAGTTGCTGTAGGAGGGCTGTTCATCTTCTAACGGAAGCCAGAAAGCACATAGGAATAAGAGAAGGGTCCAGGCCAAGTACACCCTTCAAAAGCACATCCCCAGTGACACACTCCCTCCAAGTAGGCCCTACTTTCCATAGTCTACCACCTCCCGATATTGTAGTCCAATTTGAATCCATCAGTGGATTAAACCATTGATTAGCTTAGGACCTCATGATCTGTCTCTGGGAATGCCATCACAGATATACCTAGAGGTTTGCTTTACTAATCTCTTAGATGTCTCTGAATCCAATCAAATTGGCAATCAAGATTGACCATCGGGCCAGCACCAGTGGCTCATGCTTGTAATCCTAGCTACTCAGGAGGGAGAGATCAGGAGGATTGTGGGTCAAAGCCAGCCCCAACAAATAGTTTGTGAGACCCTATCAAAAAAACCCTTTACAAAAAAGGGCTGGTGGAGTGGTTCAAGGTGTAGGCCCTAAATTCAAACCGTAGAACCACAAAAAAAAAAAAGCTGGAAGGATAAAGGAGAAAGATGGAGGGGGTAAGATATACCATAAGCATTTCATCTTTCATAAGGGTCACAAAAGTTGTACCCCTTGTGCAACTATAATACTCTTGTGTGTGTGTGGTGTGTACTGGCGTTTGAACTACACCCCAGCCCTTTTTTGTGATGGGTTTTTTGCAAGATAGGGTCTCACAGAACTATTTGCCTTTGAAGCATGATCCTCTTGATCTTGCTTCCTGAGGAGCAAGGATCATAGTCGTGAACCACTGAAAAACATTTTTTTAATTGTTGTGCTGGATGGGGAAAAACTTTTTTAATTAAAAAAAAAAAAAGTTGAAGCCAGGCTCCCGTGGTTCACACCTAAATCCTCACTACTCAGGAGCAGAGATCGGATTACAGTTAGAAAGCCAGCCTGAGGCAAATCATTTGTGAGACCCTGTCTCGAAAAAACCCAACACAAAATAGGACTGGTGGAGTGGCTTAAGTGATAGAGCGCCTGCCTGGCAAGCCTAACAAGCATGAAGCCCTGATTTTGAGCCCCAGTACTGAAAAACAAAAGCAGATTGACCATCACAGGTGAACACCAGTGGCCTCATGCCTTGATCCTAGCTACTTGGGAGGCTAAAATCGGGAGGATTGTAGTTCAAGGCCAGTCTGGGCAAATAGTTTGTGAGACCCCCCCCCCGCCCCCATCTCCAAAATAACCAGAGCCAAATGGGCTGGAGATATGGCTCAAGCTGTAGAACACCTGCCTTGCAAACGAAAAACTCTTGAGTTCAAACCCCAGTCCTTCAAAAAAAAAAAAAAAGATCGACCATCACAATGTCTTTCAACTATTTTCCATCCCAACATATCAGTAACAATTGTTCACTAAGGCAAATATTTAACCCTCTGCCGTGAAAGATTCTGATTTTTGCATCACTACTTTAAAAATCTCTGGTTTGAATTATTTTTACATATAGAGATTCTGGTCATGCCAGGAATGGTTGTGCATGCTTGTAATCCCAGGAAATTAATTCAGGAAGATTGTGAGTTTCAGGCCAGCCTGGGCTACACAGCAGGCCCCTGTGTCAAAAAACAAACAAAACAAAACAAAAAACACTCACAAATCATTACTTTTCACCTATCTACTGCCTCCTAAATCTTTAGCTGTATTGTGAAACATGAGTTTCACAAAATGAAATACGGCTGAGTGTCTCTCAACTCTACAATACATTTCTTCCTTAGCTATCCTTTATGGAGCCAGTTATTGCTCCTCTAAGAATTTAAAGTGGCCATTCACCAAAACCTTCCTAACCTGAGATGAGCATAAGCTAGGATGGTAACCCAAAGGGAGAAGAAGCAAGTAAATCCTGAGGGTAGCCTATTGAATACTCACAGGGTCCTCTGTCTCCTGCTCTTTTCATCATCCTACACACTAAAACTTAAGATAGGTTTTTCAAGCTGAGTGTGATGGTGCACATCTATAATCCCAGCAATCGGAGAAGAAGGATTGTGGGTTCAAGGCCAGCCTGGTTTACATGGTAAGACCCTGTCTCATAAACAAACAAAAAAAAATAAAAGGTTTTCTAAGGAAATGAGAACAGGTTCTGTTGTAAATGGACCCTTTTAAGCAAAAGCAGTGTGACACAAAGAATGAAGTCGATGGCATTCTCTTGAGGCTCTTAAACTCGTTGTTTGCTACAACAATGAGGATGATGAGCAAAGAGTTTTAAGTAATGATGCTTCTCCTTCCAGGCATCTTTCGTACTTCATAGAACTGTGATTTTTGGTTAAATGGGGTTTGGGCTTTTTGTTTTCTGTGGTTTTTTCATCTTTGAGTAAGGACTCTTTTTTTTTTTCCCCCTAGATCCTGTTTTGTTTTATTTCCTAATAGTTTACTACTTTTAGGCAAATTACCTATGAATCTACCCACACTGAAACAAATCTGCATAAGGATACAATTTCTTTTCCTTCCGAAAGTTCTTTTTAAGCTTCAGCCTGTGCTGACAAATGAAGGCTCCTGTCCCTTATATGGTCTCTGGTTTTCCCAGCTCAGTTGACTGGATTTTATATAAGACTTCCTAAACATCATGTTCTTTCAGCTCCACTTTCTTCTTTGACATATCCCATCTCTGGTTTCTGTAGTATTTGAGCAAGATAAAGATTCAGCAGATTGAGAAAGACCGAGGTGAATGGGATAGTCTGACACCAGAAGCCCGCCGTGAGAAGGAGGCTGGCCTGCAGATGTTTGGGCAGCTCGCACGTTTCCATAACATTATGTCCAATGAAACAATTGGTACCCTTGCCTTCCTGACATCAGGTGAGGACATGAAGCCATGCTATCCCAGAAAAATGTAGTAATCGAGACCTGCCTAAGTTGGGGACGAACCCAACAGAAACTAAGACTTCAGGCTGTGGTGACAGTATCCTCCAAATCTGAGGGGAAAGGATATTTCTGGAGAGCTTCAAAAAGAATGCCAATGCCTATTATAAACATGCCAGAAAGTATACGTTGGTAACAGTTGATTTCTTGAGGATCTGAGTTTGTAGCTCCTTGGTAGAGCATGTGCCTGACATGTGCAAAGCCCTGAGTTCGATCCCTGGTACTAAAAAAAGTCTTTTTGACCACAGATTAGCTATATAAACATATGTAGCATGTGGTGGCATGTGCCTGTAATACCAGCTACTCAGGATGCAGAGGCAGTAGGATTGCCACTTCGAGGCCAGGTGGGCAAGGTAAGGAGACCCTGTCTCAAAAGCAAAAACAAACAAAAGGGCTGAGAGTGTGGCTCAAGTGGTAGACCATTTGCCTAGCATGCTTTAGGCCCTGGGTTCAATCCCAGTACTGCAAAAAATAAAATAAAAATGTGTGTATGCATATATATCATATATAATATCTCTATACACATGCACACATGTATCTATGTTAATCTCAAAAAGACTTCATTCCTAGTTAAATGGAATGAATCTAACAGCAACATTTATTTCCCCTTCCTCTAGAGCTGCACGGTCCCATTCGATAGCCACTTGCCACATGTGACTGTCAAGCATTTAAAATGTGGCTAGTCTGAATTGAGATGTGCTATAAATATAAAATCCACACTGTAAGACTTAATATAAAAAAGTGTTAGCCAGGTGCCAGTGGCTCACATCTATAATCCAAGCTACTCAAGAGGCAGAGATCAGGAGGCTCACAGTTCAGAGCAAGCCCGAGCAACTAGTTCATGAGACCCTATCTCAAAAAAACCCTTCATGAAAAAGGGCTGGTGGAGTGGCTCAAAGTATAGGCCCTGAGTTCAAGCCCCAGTACCACAAAAAAAAAATTTTTTTTAAAGTGGATATGGTGGTTCACACCTGTAATCCTAGCACTCAGAAGGCAGAAGCAGGATCAAGAGTCTGAGGTCAGCCTGGGCTGCATAGCAAATGTAAAAATGTAAAATATCTCAGTAATTTTCATTCACTGATTATATATTAAACTGATCTAAATTTTAGTGCTTTATTTAAGTATGATAACCAATTATTGGGCATTAGAGGAAATTCTCTAATGTGAAACACAAATAAGGGATGAAAACTTTAAACTTTTTTTTAAAATCTTTATAATATTGGGATACAAGAAGATGTACCTGTCATGGACCAAGAACATAAAGGCAATAGAAGAATTATTCATAGAACCAGAAGACAAGAGTGGATTGGGCCCTGGCTCAAGTGGTACTTCCCTGGCAAGTTCAAGCCCCAGTACCACTAAAAAAAAAAGAGAGAAACCACTTTTGGATATTGAAAATATTACTTTTGAATTTTTAAATATTCCATAAAGGAGTTGAAAGAATAAATCCAAGGAATTCTTCCATGAAAGTGGAACAGTAAGAGAGAGAGAACTTAGGAGATAGGATAAGAAAATGAAGGATGGATCTAGGAGGTCTCAAAAGAGGAAAGTGTAGGGAAGAAAATTATCCAAAAAAACTCCCCCAGACTTGAAAAGTGAAAGGGCCTGGCGCAGAGAGTTTTTTTAAAGCCTACAGTGTGATTTTAATATCTGTATATCCTTGTGAATTTTTAGGAAATCATGGTAAAGAGAAGATCCTGAAGTGTCCCCCAGAAAAGTAATGTATCATGGCTCAAGAATCAAAATGGCTTTCAATGCTGGCTTCAGTAATGACATCTGAAGCTGTAACATGTTTCTTTTTTTCTTTTTTTTTTTTTTTCCAGTACTGGGGCTTGAACTCAGGGCCTACACCTTGAGCCACTCCACCAACCCTTTTTTTGTGATGGGTGTTTTTGAGATAGGGGCTCATGAACTATTTCCCCGGACTAATTTTGAACCGTGATCCTCCTGATTTCTGCCTCCTGAGTCACTAGGATTACAGGCATGAGGCACCAGCACCCAGCCTGGGACACATTTCTAAGGGAAAATATTTTTTCAGTCGAGAATCCTTTATCCAGCTAAACTACCAGTTCTGTTTGAGCATAAAATAAGGACATGCTCAGATGTGAAGTGTACCTTAAGGTTAAATTTGACAAGGAAGATGCAAAGAGAAACTCTAGGATGATGGTAGAAGGAGCTTGTGTGACCACTGCTTCCAGGTTGAACACAGGATGGAAACTTCAGGAAAGAACAATTAGAAATGACCCTGTTGAGGTTTTATGATTCTGGTGGAGAGTTTGGTGAGGATTTCATCATAAGCACTCTGCAAATAAGCAAAAAAAAAAACCCAGAAAGCTACATTGAAAGGGAACTGTATAATTGGCAGGATATTATGTAGCTCTGTAAATGATATTTACATAATCTTTTTTTTCTTTTTTGGGGTTTGAACTCAGGGCTTCACACTTGTTAAGCAGGCACTCTACCACTTGAGCCACACTTGCAGCCCCATATTTGCATAATCTTAATAGCATAAACTAAATTACTTAATCAAAACTTTGATAATGTATTATATATTAATATATATGAATTTCAATTTTAAATGCTTACAGCTACCATGTGACATTTTTAACTAAATGTTAAGATATTTATGGTATAGTTACTGAAAAAATTACAGAATATGTACAGTGTGATAGTTTTTCTTCTAAAAATGTATGCAAAATATGGACTGAAAAACTAAGACAGATACATAGCAAAATGTTAACAGTGTTTTATTTCTGGTTGGTAGTTTTTGTTGTTTTCTTCTTTGTTTTCTATTTTTGTTTGTGTATATTTTCTGCAATGAAAATATATTATGTAATTTAGAAAAGAGCGATCCCCAGAGGTCTCCAAGTAAACTAGGCATCAGTAAAGATTGCTAGTGAATGAGTTTTCAGAGACTTTGGCTTTTTTTCCAGAGATCAAATCACTCTTCGTGCACCCCTTCCTCGCTGAACGCATCATCTCCATGCTGAACTACTTCCTGCAGCACCTGGTTGGCCCCAAGATGGGTGCCTTAAAAGTCAAGGACTTCAGCGAATTTGACTTCAAACCCCAGCAGCTCGTATCAGATATCTGCACTATCTACTTAAATCTTGGGTATCTGAGATATCATTGGACAAGCCAGATGAGATGCTAATGTTGTGATAGTAGAATGGTCAGCTATTGTGTGGAAATAAAGAAATGGCATTTCTAGTTGGTTGATGAAGGAATCATCTGTAGTTTTAAATAAGGAGATTTTGGAGCTGGGTGTGGTAGCACAAGCCTGTAATCCCAGCACTTGAGAGGCTGAGGCAGGAAGATCACAAGTTTGAGACCAGCCTGGGATAAATAACAAGTTCCAGGCCAGTCTGGAATACATAGGGAGACCCTGTGTCAAAAAAAAGAGAGATTTTGTATAATCTGTAAGACGTTCAGAATTTCCAACATTCTGCCTTGATTTGTGCAAAGGCAAATTTTATTTGTACTCTTGTTTGAGAAAGTAGTATTCTTTTATGACCACAGGGTACCTGACAGATGCCCTTCCTAGATCAAAAGATTTTCATGACTAATAAATAGATTATTCTGTAGCCCATTTGTTCCCTCCCCACTGACCTATGTTCTGATGCCCAGTTTCTTTCTGATGCCAACTTTCCAGGGATGAGGAGAATTTCTGTGCCACTGTGCCCAAGGATGGACGTTCCTACTCCCCAACTCTCTTTGCACAGACAGTTCGAGTCCTGAAGAAGATAAATAAGCCTGGGAATATGATTGTGGCTTTCAGCAACTTGGCAGAGAGAATCAAGGTGAGGAAAAAGAGAGTGTTTTCTCAGATGTTCAGTAAAGAAAAATCGCACTGTCAACCAGGTGTAGTGATACATGCCTGTAATCCTAATTACTCATTAGGCAAGGGCAGGAAGATCACCAGTTTGAAGTCAGCCTGGGCAAAGTTAGTGAGACCCAAATCTCAAAAACAAAATACAAACAAAAGGGCTGGAGGAGTGGCATAAGTGGTAGGGTGCCTGCCTAGCAAATGCAAGGCCCTGGGTGCTGCCAAAAAAACAAAATAAAATTACTGTCAACTCAGCTGTGCTGCTTTTTGTCTTGTTTTAGGGAGAAAAGAGCATCGCCTTTGAGACACTAGAAACAGGTGCTTCTTCTTGCTCAGTAACTAGAGCACCTATCTCCTAATTATTACTTGTTTCAACGTGAGTGTGGAAACAGATGTTGAGCCAAACATGTTGGCACAGGCCTGTAATCCTACCTCAAGAGCCAGAGATTTGGAGGATCATGGTTTGAGGCTGGCCCAGGCAAAAAGTTAGCAAGACCCCATCTCAATCAACAAGACAGGCATGGTGGTTTATGTCTGTAATTCCAGTACTTGGGAAGCAGGAGGATCAGAAGTTTAAGGCTAGCCTGGGACACATTGCAAGTTCTAGGCCAATCTGAACTACATGGTGAAACTATTAAAAAAAAAAAAGATCATTAATTAAAACCTACTTTTTTTTTTTTTTTTTTTTTAAATGGACTTGCTATGTATTCCAGGCTGGCCTCGACCCCTCAATCCTCCTGGTTCATCCTCCCCAGTGCTGGGATTACAGGTTTGCATCACCATGCCCAGCTCAGTCACTGACTTTTATTGATTTTTCTCTGTCCTATACATTCATACTTAGTAGTTTGCTTCTAGTGACATACGCATGCATTTTAAAAACTAAAATTCTGTACTGTGTTCAGCTAATCCATTTGGTTGGAATATAAAAGAGTTCCATTAGAAATAATGAAAAAAAAATCATAGCACAAAAGTGTAATAGAAAGCCTTCATTACTGACGAGGCACAGTTTTTCATGTCTGTAATCCCAGCGACTCAGAAGGCAGAGATCAGATGAATTGTCGCTTAAGGCCAGCCCAGGCAAAAAGTTCATGAGCCCCATCTCAATCAGTAGCTGAGTGTTGTGACTCACATCGCCTATCCCAGCTCTGCAGAAAGTATAAATAGAATTTCTGTCCATGCTGGCCTGGGCATAAATGTGATGCAAAAAGCAAACAGGGCTTGGGGTGTGATTCAACCCCTGACACCACCAAAAAAAAAATTAAAAACAAACCTGGGCTGGTGGAGTGGCTCAAGTGGTTGAGTACCTCCCTAGCAAGCACAAGGCTCCAAGTTCAACCCTTGTTAAATTTTTTTTGTCTTTGTTTGGCCTAGAGCTGTAGGAATTAAATGTTGAAGCCACTTTTAAGTTTTCTGTACCTACTTATACCAAAAACCGGGAACTGCTTTTCATACACAGGCTGCATGAGTTTTGGTAATTATGCAAATAATAACTTTCCCTCCACATCTCCTTTTGTATACACATATTTTCATTAATTTTTTTATGGTGCTGGGGGTCAAACTCAGGGCTTGTGCATGCTAGGCAAGTTCTGTACCACTGAGCTATAAATCCCCAGCCCTTTTGGAATTACAGCATTTACAACAGAACTGCCAGAAAGCTGTTGTAGACTCCTTTCCAGCCAACACTTAAGTCATGACTGCTGCAGCTGAGCCACCTTAAAGTTCAGAGTTGGGTGTGATGCTAAATTTGCTCCTAATAAATCTGTCTTGGCTTGCTCTTGAAAAAACAAAGCTAAGATTTGTCACGGATTCTTGATGACCAAGATGAAGGGATAGTTTACTGTGCTCTGAATTCAGCTGCACTGTGGATTCACTGTAATAAGCAACTGTTGGGTCCTCAGTCTCTTGCAGACCTCCAACAACAGGAAGAAGAGACCTATGCAGATGCCTGTGATGAGTTCCTGGATCCCATCATGAGTACACTCATGTCTGACCCTGTGGTGCTGCCATCTTCCAGAGTCACTGTGGATAGATCCACCATTGCCAGGCACTTGCTCAGGTAACCTGTCCCAAAAAGCCTCAGGAGCACAGACATACCTTAGTTTGCTGTCATCTCTCCCAAATATTTACCATAGCACCTTGCACCCAGTAGATGCCTCATGGTGGTGATTTATTGATATGGCATTTTAATGTCAGTTGAGTAAGAATTTAAATATTTAAATGAGACACTGTTGAGAAATGCTGGCTCTAACCTTACCTCTTCTTTCCTTAATAAAATAATTTGGGTGAATTCAACTGATATATTGTAAGAACTTTTGTAAATGTCACATTATACCCCAGTACAACAATAAGTTCAAAAAAAGAGAATAATTTTAGCAATATATGTTATAAAGTAGTGTCAACATGAAGTGTAGATAAACGTAAAATTGTTTTAATTTTATTTAAGTTGTAGAAACATAAAAGACAAAGTTTTATTTTTTGTTTTAATTCAGATTTTACACTATACAAGTTAACTTGCTTTTGTTGCTGTCCTTGTACTTAGCTGTGATAACATGAAATTTCCCCAGCCTGCTAGCTATTTGCACAGTCTCCCCTAATTTCTCATAAAAGACAGAAAGGGGGCTAGGGCTGTGGCTCAAGGGGTAGCGCACCTGTCTGGCAAGTTCAAACCCTACTACCACCAAATAGGAAAAAATGGAATACGATAGGAAAGATGTAATAAGTGATAGCTTATTTGCTAATGAATCAGCCCCTTAGTTTTTTTTTTGTTTTTCTTTTTTATTCATGGTCTTGCTACACAGTACAGACTGGCCTCAAACTCCTAGGCTTAAGATAGCTTTCTTCCTTAGCCTCCCAAGTAGCTGAGACTACAGGTTCATGCCACTATGCCTGACTTGCCTCTTTTTTTTTTTTTGTGGGACTAGGTTTTGAACTCAGGGCTTCCTGCTTTCAGAGCCACTCAGTCCAGTCAGTCCAGTTTTGCTCTGATTATTTTGGTGATGGAGGTCTCACAAACTTATTTGCCTGGGCTGGCCTCACACTGCAATCTTCCCATTCTCAGCTGAGACTACAGACATGAGCCACCAGCACTGGGTAACCCCATAACTTTTTTAAGTGTAACATTAGATAGATATGGAGACTGAGTGATTATGCCTATCTAATTAAATTGTGTAAGTTAATCCAAATTTAGGGAAATCTATAAATATTGAAAAAATTAATTTTCTACTTCATAGTATTTGGTATTAAGCTTTCATTATATACATGATACTATGCTAGGTGATATGTCTTTTCTAAAATGTCAGTGCAAATATGTATTTTATAGTGGTTAGAATACAGAGAAAAGACGGATCAATCCTTATAGTATATTACAAATCTTTTGTTATTTTGGTTTTTTTCCTGTGGTGCTGGGAGTCAAACTTGGCCTTGTACATACTAGGCAAGCACTCTACATTGAACTAACACTCCAGCCCTGAACTTGCTCACCTGCCAGGAAATCGTAATCTGCATTTACTTGTATAGCAATGAGCTAAGTAAATCAAATGTCAGTTGCAAGGCTTTAGTCCTTAACATCTTATGCTATTTCAAGAATCTGTCACTAAAGCTACAAATAGCCAGGTACAGTGTAATCCCTGCTATTCAGAAGACTGAGGGAGGAGGATCATTTGAGTCCAGGAGTTTGAGGCCAGCTTGGGCAGCATAGGGAGACCCCATTTTAGGCTGGGTATGGTGGCGCACATCCATTCACAGCTATTCAAAAGGCAAGATCAGGAGGATCACAGTTCAAGGCAAGCCCAGGCAAAAAGTTAGTGAGATCCCATCTCGACCAACATACCAGGTGTGATGGTGCATGTCCCCACCCCACAGGAGGCACAGATAGGAGGATTGAGGTCCTAAGCCGACCCAGGCAAAAAATGTGAGACCCCATGCAAAAAGTTGCTAAAGCAAAAAAACGGAAGGTATGGTTCAAGTGGTAAAGCTCATGAAGGCCCCAGATGGTAAAAGGACAAAGCCCTAAGTTCAATTCCCAGTACTGCCAAAAAAAGAAAAAGACCCCATTTCAAAAAAAAAATCTACAAATAATGCTTTATTGCTGACATGAGAAATCTATGGTTTAGAGAAATCTAAAGGCTAGTGACAGAAACACAGCATTTTTTAAACCACTCAAGTGAAATATCTGAACATCAGTATTGAGATAAAATTCGTTAAGAGGCAGAGAGACAATGTAGATGAAGAAACTCCTAAAGCTAGTTGGGCACTGATGACTTAAGGCCTGTAATTCTAGCTACTTGGGAGGCTAAGATCCAGAGGATCAAGGTTCAAGGACAGGCGGGGCAAATAGTTCAAGACACCCCATCTCCAAAATAACCAGTGCAAAATAGACTGGAAATGTGCTCAAGCAGAGAGTGTCTCTTTCCAAGCGCAAAAAAAAAAAAAAAAGCAAAATAAAATTTGTAAGTCATTCTTTTTATCATCTTACTCTTTCCACAAGTCAGCATTTGATTTAAAGTTATAATACATTCATGCTTCAGTCACAGTTCAAGTAAAACACTTAGATGTTCTATTTTTAGCTTAGGATGTTAGAACATACAGAAGTAACTCCATTTGCCTTTCTCTCTTTGTCTTAGTGACCAAACCGATCCTTTTAACCGTAGTCCCCTCACAATGGACCAGATCCGGCCAAACACTGAACTAAAAGAAAAAATCCAGCGGTGGCTTGCAGAGAGGAAACAACAAAAGGAACAACTTGAATAAATACTGTGAACTAAACAAACCAAACACCAACCCCAGAGTGTAGATTAAACAATTATTTGTGGTTTCTCTTTTTCTGATTCTGTTCCTTTCCTTTTCCTTTTTTTTTTTTCTTTTTTTTTTTCTTTACTAAATTAGGGTACTGCTCTTGCTCAAATTATGATAATTAAGATTCCTAACAACTTGTCGATGTTCCCCCTGGCTTGCAGGAAATTATACTTCTCCAGGTGTAGAAATCATCACTAATTTTCAGTCTTTGTTCTCTCTTCCTATTCTTTCTTCTTCCTTTTCCTACCTTAAATTGTATTAAGTTCAAAAACTAGAACTTCCTGCCACTTGACTCTTTCCCTTCCAAGTACTGCTCAAACATTTTTGGTGAGACTACTTTTAAGTCTATGGTATCAACTATTTCAATGACAGCTGATATTGTTAGAAAATCCTGTGCTATCCTGTGTATTTACTAGTCTTTATGATTTGGACTTAAGTGCTGGTCCTTACTTTAGCTCTGTAATGTTGCAGAATAACTTTTCACATAAAAGCAAATACCTTGATGTTTGTGTAGGTTTTTGAATGGTAGATGAGATTTTTTTTTAAAGCGGAATCTTATACAGTTACTGTTGGTAGCTCTTGTGTTGCCTTGTAACTCAAAGATAGCATTGCAAACAAACACTCTTGTGGGATTGTCACCACAGTCTTTTTATAAGGATTAGTAATGGAGCAGACTTGTAGTTTTGACACTTCAGTAAAAAAAAATTCTGGGGTAAGAGAATAAATAGGAATGTATAGGGCCCTTTTTCTCTTAGGGAGATCTGTTACTTTAAGGACTAAGCCTGAATAGAAGAGTTAGGCAACAACTATTGTAACCATAAAAATGTCATTTAAGATACAAGTAACAGTATTTGTCAGTGTGTATGTGTAAACACACATACATGCCATGGACTTCTTTATATTGATCTTATGTAAACTGGGTCCCACTTTATATTGCCTCTTCCATGGTAAGGTGTATACAGTATGTGACCATGCCTACTCATTCATTTTAGACAGGCAAAATTCTAAGACTATAAAATATATATAGTTAATGTTTGTTTGGGCTTGTGATCTGGCTTCTAACAAAGGCCTTAGTTCATCAATTACAGTAGAAACTTGAGCAAAACCTTGTCCACAAGCCATTCTAACTGTCCACTTCACCTTGAGTAGTTAGTAAGTGGATGGACCTGCTTTTCCAAGGTGAGCCTGAGTTCCCTTGATTGTGCAGTTTAACATGCTAAGTTAGGCTCTATCAAAGCCCTTAGATATAAGGGACAAGAAAAGTGATAGGATATAGAGACAAATCATTGCTTCCTTTAAAGGACATTTACTAACTATGGTCTCTTTCAAATAAGATGATAGTTTTATAATATACCAACACAAGTTGCTATAAGCAGTTCTTGATGTAATTTCAATGGTGTCAGCTGGAAAGCCTCAAATCAGAGAGTGACCCCCACCCTGGATGTTAAATTGAAGTTGCCTATTACTGTACTTACCAATGAAAAAGGAAGTTTAAGACACTTTTGCAAATGCCAGATGTAAGATTAATTCAGTGTGCTCCTTGGCCTTTAAGGTATAGGTTAACAGTTTTTATTTTCTTAAAATGAGCTTAATTTCATATTTATTATTCTCCTTCCCTTCTGAAACTGAAGTGTATATAAAATAAGCTTCTACCTACTTGCATTTATCTTCCAAACCCAATCTAGTAGAATATTTTCATTTTATAAGGAATGGGGAAGACCAGAGTTTTGCAGGAGGAAAATGGACACCAAACCTCAGAAGGCAGCTGTTCCCAGCAGCTTTCTAGCTAACAACCGCTATGCTCTCTCTAGTGTCTGTATCATAGTCTGTACTTAGCCCTCAGATCGTAAACCTTTTCTGATGACCTTCCTTCTTTCCTTCCTTCCTCCCGTTTCTCTCTCCCTCCTTCCTTTCTTCCTTTGTTCTCTTTTCCTGAGATTTAATGAATGACTATGGCACCATTAATGCTGCTGAGTATCTTTAAACTCATCATAAAAGTAAGTGCATAGCTCAAGGCCACTATTGGTAAGGAAACCAAGTGTCCTCTGTGCCTTCTTTTTCTGTGAAGTAGGACATCTAAAAACTGATACTTTAAAAAGTTATCTTGGTATAACATGGTACGTACATGCATTTGGAAGTGTGAAAGAAGTGTTCTGTGTGGAACTCAGTAGCAGCTTTAAGTCTATTAGAGTAGACTTTATGACATATCTAGGTTTACATGTTGGCTTTGCTGGAGTATGATAGGAAAGTGAAGACTCTTTAGTCAGCTCTGGTATTGCTCGTAACTCACCAAGAGGCTAATACTAAACTGGGAAAATTAAGTAGGTTTTTATCAAGCCATCAGAGTTGTTTTTTTAAGTATAGTTTTTAATGGATATGTAAAAACTGAAGGAAATGTTAGAGATAATTGTAATGGTACAGGGGAAGGCACCAGTTGCTGCTTGGTATCACACTCTGCAAAGGCTTCATTATTTGATGCTGGTTGCTAAGCAGCCATTGTACAGAGCACAAGCCTGCTGGGTGCCTTTACAAGCCAGAGGTTGATCACTGTTGTCATGCAAGGAGGTAATACACATGCTCTAACTACTAAATAGGAAAAGAACCTAGACAAAAATGAAGAACAAAACAACAAAAAGGTTAACTGTAATAAAACTTGATCAACATAACTGTATTTTGAAACATTCCAGGATGGTTACTTCTTGTCAAACTTGCCTGGGGGTGTTTGCTCAAATATGTATTTAATAAATGAACACCTGACTTACAATCTTTGTTATCACTTTATTACAGTACTAAAAGCTAGTGACAGTTCCAGAAATCTCTCTGAAACCTGGAAGAGCCTGACTGCCACTTTATTTTATTTTTTTATTTATTTGACAGTATTGGGGCTTGAACTTAAGGCCTCGTGCTTTCAAGGCAGGTGCTCTACCACTTGAACCACTCCACCAGCCCATGCCACTTTTTTTTAGATAGGTAATACCAGATGTGTATGACCTGGCTAGCCTAATCTGCCTGGCCAGACCTCTGGGGAGACCCTGGGCCTCAGAAAATGAGTTTCAAGGAATGTTTTTTTCCTGATTAGCTCACTTTTGGCTTCACTTTTCCCAAACCCAGATCTTTTATTTTAATAATTTGCTATCATGTACCCCTTTTTGCCTCTGTTTCAGTATCTCTGCCATGCAGGACCTCAACCTGGATTAATCCAGCCATTTGCTTCTGCTCCAATATCCAAGCTACAGGCTGTTGGATAAAAACAACACAATGTTTATAGCAATACAAACATAATCTCTAATATATCCAACTACCCTTCTATGTATCCTTAATTTAGCTATTCCAAGTTTTAGCCTCTTTTTTCAAATTCTCACCCCCCACTTACCCTTGACATTCACCCTGTATTTCACTGGAAAGATCAAAGATTTCAGAGTCTCCACTTTCAAGTCTCAACTTGTATCCCATCACCCCATCTGTGGAAGAGGTCCCAGCATTCTCAGACTAATTCCTCCACCACTTTTCCTGCCTCAGGGCTCTTGTCAATTCCCCTTTTCTACAATTTCTTGAGTTCCACATTCCCTTTTGGTTTTCTGACTTGTATTCCTTCAGACCCATTCAATCTGATTTTCTATCATAAGTTTATGAAAGTCTTCTAGTTAATGTCAAAGATTTCAATACTGCTAGTTAACTTTCCTATTTCTTTTATGGTCTCTCCATGTAGCCCCAGCTGGCTTTGGATTCATGATCCTCCTTAACCTCCTGAGTGCTGGAATTACAGATGTGCCACAACCAGGACTATCTCCCATCCTTAATTTGACCTCTGCAGTATCTGCAGTGAATCACTCCATCATTACAAAGCTCTTGGCTCCTTGATAACACTTCCAAATTTTCTTTCTACCCCTCCATTCATTCCATCAAGTTTACTCCTGCTCACACTTCTCCAGGATGCATTGCTTTTAGTTCTCATCAAATGTCACTTCCTTTTCTTCGTCATACTAAACTATAAAGTTTCAACCTTCTGTATAGATGTAGCTGTTCTTCCACATCAACTCAGTGATGGCTAAGCCTTCCCAGATCAGCGCCATGCCTAGTCTGATACTGAGGTTCCCCTCCCTGCTTTTACAGATCCCAACTCAGCCCACTCCATGTGACCACTCATGAATCCTAGTCTCAGTAGAGACAATGCATAACATATTTTTGTTGAATCCCAAAATAACTGCCATTAGTAGAGGCCGTCTGTGATTTTTTTTTTCCTCACATCTGCATAGCTTCTTGTGAGAATTAGGGGAATTGGATTCCAGTCGTGACACTAGATGAGAGGAAGAATGGAATTACAAAAGGGCAACTAAAGAATGACGCTGAATAAGACGGTGACTCGTGTGGTGCCTAGTTGGCCCCGAAGACCCCTGCTTGGCCTTGGACCCTTCCTGCTCCTGAAACGCAGGTGCTGGACCAGGAGCTTCTAAGTAATGTGCTCCAACGCCGACTGCCCACGTTCTCTTAAAGCTGCAAAATCGCCTTCCGCGGGAAAGTAGAGGTCGGCGCTAAGAAAAACACTGGCGCATGCGCATTTCTCAGCTCGCCGGCCTTCCGGGCCTCCACATGTAGCTGCCCCAAAAAATGCCTGCTTCCATGCGGGGTTCCACTGTTCTCTGCATGCGCTCTCTTTTCCTCTTCTCATATCTAATTGGTCCTCTACGACTGAGAAAAAAATTAACTGACCAACTAGATTCCACTAAGATCGTAAAACATCTATCTTGGACCGGCACAGAGAGGGGCGGCCTGACTCTGTAAACCCGACGGGGTCCTGAACGGGGTCCTTCCAGGGGGTGACTTTCAGCCGGCCGTTCGGAGCGACGGACCTTCCACCTCCGAACCATGGCCCAGTTTGTCCGTAACCTCGCGGAGAAGGCCCCGGCGCTGGTGAACGGTGAGCGCGGTGTGAGCCTGCCGAGGCGGGCACCCGGCGACGGGCAGGTTTACGAGTGAGCTGTGGCGAGCCTAGGGGCTTGTGGGATCCGGGGCGGGATGGCCCTAAGGTGGAGGAGCAGGAGGCAGCCTTGCCACTGACTCTAGCCTTGGCTCGCCTGGCTCGCACTTTCATTCTCTTTTAGAGTCTGAGTTGTAACTGTGGCGGTGATGAGACTTAGTGTGAGAAGGAAGCCTGGAGTTGTCTGGCAGCTGCAGCCATTGCTGCTCCTGGATCTCTGGGAACAAGAATGTGGAGGGAGGGGGTGGTTGCTAGGAGAGCTAGGAAAGGAAGAGCAGAAACGTGGAAAAGTTAGTAAATTCGGCCTCATCGGGTTGTTCTGGCCGTCGATAGAGTGTTTGAAAGTCAACAGAAATGTTCAAAGATGAGTGAACTTTAAACGTGGGCTTTGTTTTCTGTGTTGGCCAGATTCTCAGATACTTTGCTTTAAAGGAAGGAAATTTTAGATGGCATTAGACCTTGGGGATGAGTATCATGCCCCGCTGAGCTTAGGAAGGGATCTTTATAGTTTAGCACTCAAGTTTGAAGAACCTCCCCATAGGCCGCTGTGTTTCAGAACGGGCCTGGTAATAGTCTTCTGAAGTGAGATAAGTTAAATTGACGAGAACCATTAGATGTTCTGTATGGTGGTAAGTGCTTGAAGGTCAGATCTCTAATTAGTTTTCATTCAGATTTGGTTATGAAATGTGAATAAGAAGCAAAAATGCAAAAACATGTAACTCATTTGAGCCTCTTTTGCTGTCTTTGTTACTTTCTTTCTCATTATTTCCTCCCTTCCCTCCATCACCAGCCAAACAGTGACTTACTGAAGGTCTTACAGTGCCAGATACTGTAAACACTTGATTCCCTCTTTCTACAGACTCGCACAGTCTACTGCTGAGATAACGTCTTCCCAAAGAATTTCCTTTTTTTTTTCTTTTTCCATACTGGGGTTTGAACTCAGGGCTTCTTGTTTCCTAGGCAGGCGTTCTACCACTTGAGACACCCTGCCAGTCCCCAAAGAATTTCTTGTTTACAACTTGTAAAATCATCAAGCTGTCTGTTATAAAGTGCTGCAATTTTTCAAAAAGAAAAAAAGAAGGCTTCAATATTTAGGCTTTGTAGTGATTTGAGGCACAAACTGGATTTTTTTTTTTTTCCTTAGCATGGTTTTCACGTTGTTTAGGCGGTCTGTGATGGGGAATTGAAAACTGGTTTTAATGATGACATCTAAAAAGAAAAGTAATACCACAGTAAATTTTTATCATGAAATACGTAAACCCTTTCCACTGTTTTTGTAATTGAAAGATAATTTGTTTTACTTCCAAAAAGTACTCAGAAAGGAGGGCTGTGATGGGAGCAGAATGTTAAAATGGAAATACATTGGCCAGTATATTAAATGTGAATGTTAAAATGTTTATAAGGATTATTATCTGTTAACTCCCTAGGAGACAAAGAATTTTATCAGACTTCCACAGAAAGATCTGATTTTTTTTTCTCCCCTTTACCAAATTGTAGGTTTTATTTGGATTTCACCAGTTTTCCCATTAATCTTGTTCAATCCCAAAATCCAACCCAGAGTATCCCATTACGTTTACTTAGTATGTCTCCCCGTGTCTCAGATCTTTCCTTATCTTTCATGATCTTGACTGTCTTGAAGTGTCTCTGCTAGGTATCCTAAAGAATGTTCCTCGGTCTGAACTTATCTGATGTTTCTCTCATGATTAGTCTGCAACTATGGATTTTTAGAATGAAGTTTCACCACAGAGATGTATGTCCTAATCACATATTAGGAGGTACATGATATCTATATGACATCACTGGTGATAAAAACTTTCATTTAGGCGAGGTACTAACCTCCTCAACTGTACAGTTATTCTCCCTTTCCATATTACACACACACACACACACACAAATAGTACTGGGGATTGAACTCAGTACCTCCAGCATGCTAGGCAAGCTCTCTACCACTTGAATCTCACCTCAGTCCTCCATACCTATTCTTTTTTTGGGGGTGGGGTTTGGGAGACGGTACTAGGGTTTGAACTCAGGGCGTCACACTTGTTAGGCAGGCACTCTACCACTTGAGCCACTCCACCAGCCTTACCTATTCTTTAGAATCAAGTAACTATGTAAAGCAAGGAGGGCTTGCCACCAGGGTGGTAGGTATGTCTGTTTATTGTATCTATTAAGTGAAATTTCTATTTTTTCAATCATTTATTGTATTGACTCATTAACATTTATTTCATATATCTCATATCCAGTATTGTTATTTATTGCTTATGTTGTTTCAGCCTTGGTCATCCTGAGCTCTTTTAGGTTGGTACCTCTGTCCCTTTGACATACTTTCTTATTTTCTGGTACTACAAGATGTTCCATATTTAGTCATCATGTATGCTCTCTGCCAAGCCTTCAAACTGGCTGTTTCTCCAAGGAACCCAAGTTCCTTTCATTAAGCAATGTCATTTACAAATTAAGATGTAGGTAGTGGTTTGTTCCTTGCTACTATAGTGTTAATGCTTCAAGGTCCTCTCAGTGGACAGCTATTCAGATACTTATCCATATGGAGAGGGTTGTGGCACACACGTATGCATGTACTCATCCATGATTTTTCTGTTCTGTTAAGCTAAACATGAGTTCATATGAATGTGTCCAACTCTAATCCAGTAGCACCCAATTTAATCTTTTTTCCTTTTTTTGAAGCTGGGGCTTAAGCCCAGGGCCTTGCACATGCCAAGCACATGCTCTACCACCCCATCCCCAAATAACCCCCTGACCTTGTGGGGGAGGGGTTTTTTTTGGATTTTGGGTTTTTTTGTTGTTTTTGGTTTTTTAATATGAGATGGGGACTCACTATGTTGCCCATGTAGGCCTTGAACTCCTGGGTTTAAGTCATTATCCTGCCTCAGCCTTCCAAATAGCTGGGACTACAGGAATGCACCTACCCTACTCCCACTACTCCTGTTTCTTATCTTGCTTATCTCTATTTCTCTCTTCTTTGTGGGAAACCTGACTCCCATCATTCATTTACTTGTGTTTTGTACATCCCTGTGTTCATGTGAAGCAGTTTCAAACTTATGTTTGAAACTGCAGTGTTTTTTCTTAAGGATGAAATATCTGTGTTGAAGATAATTTTAAAAGACAATTGGATGACTGCTCCATAAGACATGGTACTTTTTGATTGCCCTTTCTTACAGGCATTGTCAGTTCCATTGAGAACAGAGAGGGAGAGAGGAGAGAGAGCCGCGTGTCAGAGCTTTGTGTCTACTGAAAGTTTTACCCCAATGCTTCAAACACGAGGAGTGAGAGAGTAATTCTAAGAATAGTGAAGCTAGGCAAATAGTTCATGAGACCCCATCTCCAAAATAACCAGAGCAAAAGGGACTGAAAGTGCGGCTCAAGTGGTAGAGCACCTGTTTTGCAAGTGCAACACTCTGAGTTCAAACCCCAGTTACACACACACAAAAGAGAATAACCCACATTCAGGCAGTTAATAGAATAATAGGAAAAGGAAAAGCACCAAGAGTCTTGAACAAAATTCTTTTTTTTTTTTTTTTTTTTTTTTGTGAAATTGGGAATTGAACCCAGGGTCTTGTGCATGCATTCTTTCTCTTGAGCCACATCCTCAGGACTTTTGTTTTGTATTTCTGAGCTAGGATCTCCCTCTAACTCCACCCCACCCCACCCCCACCCCCAGGTGCAAACTCACTCCATCCTCCTGCCTCCCTCCCAAATAGTTGGGATTACAGCATGTACCACCATACCTAACTAGGTAAGTGCTCTACATTAAGCTATACCTCCAGGCCCCATGCTATTTTTTTTATGTTTCTGATCATTTTTTTTAATAGTAGATTTCTTTTGCTGGTCACTAGTATGATCTCACAGCTACCCAGGTTATTTAAGATTTCATTTCTTGAAATAGTAAATACCTTAAAGGAATTTCAGTTTAGTAATAGGTTCTACTTTTCCCTGCTCTTAACAATTCACTTTTATTTATTTGTGGTGTTTTTGAAAGGGGAGCAGCTGTGCTTTTGTAAGAGAAAGATTTAATCCAGCGCGTATTGATGTGGATACCAAAAATGGATACTAATTGGTATAGTTCCATCTGGATTTGTGGTCAATGTCATGATTAGGTTTAATCTTATTCTTAACAGGATCATTCTATATAGTTCCCTTCGCCTTCTGGACCTCTTCTCTCTGAATTTCTTGATGTTTCTGCAAAGAAAATATGAATAAACTGCTGCTATCTTGTTTTTGAATCCAGATACTAATAACAGTTACAGTTAATTAGATTTGCCATTCAAAAGTGAAGTAACAGTACTAGCTGGCCACTAGTGAAGTCCTGGCATAATTGAATGTGCTTATAGCTTCCTGCCTGATTGAACTTCCCTGTGACACAGGTGTTGTGCATCTTTAAAAGCCTCTTGTTACTAGGGAGCAGCTTTGACTTTTCACACCGGGTGCACATTTGGTACAAGCAGTGAATGAATGTGATGCATGAATAAATATTTGTGTCCAGCCCACACATCTGCTTCTCTCAGTCTCTAGCGAGTTCATCCTGTTTTTTTTTTTATTTTGTTTTGTTTTGTTTTCCAGCTGCTGTGACTTACTCGAAGCCTCGATTGGCCACATTTTGGCACTACGCCAGGGTTGAGCTGGTTCCTCCAACCCCTGCTGAGATCCCTACAGCTATTCAGAGCCTGAAAAAAATAATCCATAGTGCTCAAACTGGTAGCTTCAAACAGCTCACAGTGAAGGTAACTATGGGCTAAATGAAATCGTATGTGCGAAACGGAAAATGTCTTCCCTTGGGATTTTTTCTGATTTAGTTTAGTTTATGTAAGTATTTTGCTGCCAAAAAAGAGATTTACTTTTTTCTCATTTTGTCATCTAGGTGAAAATAATTCAGCTATTTTATGTTTTAGGGGTTTTTTTTGTTTGTCTTCTTACAGTGCTGGGAATTGAACCTAGTACCTTGCATATGTTAGGCAAGCATTCTACCACTGAGCCCTGTGTCTTTTATTTTGTACTAGTCTTAGGCTATAGCAAAAATGTGAGCTTTTTTTTTTCCCCAGTTTTGGTCTTGGAATTATCCCCAACTCATACAAAAGGCTTCTTGAACTACATTAGTCAGACATCTAACACTTATGGAGAATAAAATTACCAAAATCTGGGTTATCAGCTCACCTGAAGATTAGAGTTTTATGTTTACTTGATCCAAGCACAGGGTACAAAAAGTCTACATAACTAATAATTGCTGACTTTAGAACCTACATCATGGAGGTTCTACATCATCATTATTTTTTTTTTCAGAAAACTTCCAGTTTGCCTCTGGTCTAATTTGAAGAAGAATTCATTTCCAGAAATTGTCAAAAGACCCAGTTTTATTATGGAAAGATATATGAGCTTACATGAAACAGGTCTTTCTGGAACTACATGAGCATTTTTCCCCCTTTGAGACAATAAAATGTTGACTTGTGAAACTGAGTACCTAAATAGTTGGAAAAAGTTAAGCCAAATAATAAATGAAAAAAAACGAATGTTAAGGGGAAGACAGAGGCCTCCATCTTTCAGCAGATTTCCTTAGGCCAGACAGCAGTGTCTATTCAGTCAGACCCTTGGCTTTCCTATAGCCATCCTTTCCTATGAATGCCCTGCCTAAATCTGTCAGCTGTTTCCAGGATGTGGGTTGTTGAAGGGCCCATAAAGTATCTCATAAACTAATAATGAAAGGGTTAAGTCAGTTCAAGTCTTTAAAGAGTCCTTTGAAAGAATTTATAAGCTCGAGACTACTTACTTTACAAAATTGAAAGTTTGAGTGTTCTCTGAAGTTGAACAAAGTTAACACCAAATTCTTAGCTTTTACTAAAACTGCCTATTCAAACATAGCAACCTTATATTCTCTGTCACTTAATCTTGGAAAAGAATAGTTTTAAATATGTAAAGGGAAAAAAGATACCTTAAAATTTGTCCTTCTTTTTTTCAGGAAGCTATGCTGAATGGTTTGGTGGCCACTGAAGTGTGGATGTGGTTTTATATCGGCGAGATCATTGGCAAGCGTGGCATCGTTGGCTATAATGTTTGAAGACCAATCTTTAATGTCTGGCCATATTTGATTTATTATTTGAGTATTCTTGGACCACATGTGATCAGACTGCTATCTGAATAAACTGTGTCAAATATCAGTGTTTTCTCTGAAATACTACATGGAAAGTCACAGTTTTTCTTGAGAATTAAGTTGGGTTGTCTTTAGCTTTGCTACATTAATATAATTCTAAATGCATGTCTATTTAACCTGAAATTGGAAAAGATAGATGTAAATATACAAGCCTAGCACACGAATACATGAGGAGAACTGTTCAACTGGAATATATATTTAAAATATATATATTTCAACTTTACTTCCAGAAAAATTGGAAGAGACCTTGAGAGAACTAGAACTTGATACAGTAGAAGAAATAGTAATACCATGTGTCATGGTAATATAGTTAAATGGCACCCATAGTCCCAGCAACTCAGAAAACTGAGGCAAGAAGATCACTGGCCAGCCTGGGCAACATAATAAGACCCTGTCTCAAGAAAAAAAATTATGTCAGCATAAGAGATGATTTCTCTTTGCTATAATCACGGAACGACCCTTTTGACAACAGCCTATCTAGAAATCTTGGTGTATTTCTTGTCCACTTAAATGTGTCCCTACCCAAGAGAATATAGAAGGGTGGTTTGCTAAGTATGTATATTTGTTACATCTTAATAGAGGACAGAGTGAATGAAAGCCATGATGTACTTTTTAAATCTAATTTTGGTATGTGTTATTAATCTGTCTTGGTTTTATGATTTTTTTAGTACATATCTTTACAAAAACAAAACATCTGCTGGGGATGGGGTTCAAGCGGTAGAGGTCTGCCCCACAAGCATGAAGCCCTGAGTGCAAATCACAGTACTGCCAAAAACAAAAAGATCCCACAGAGAGTTAAGCAGTTAGGACATAGTGTCATCCATGGGTCTAGGTAGTATGCCCTAAAATAAATAGAAGTGATTATCACCCGTTTGTCTGGAGCCAGTGTATTTAATGTATAGGAGATACTGCTCATTTGTTGCCTTTTCCTAAAGACCTTTAAAAGCCCTTGATTGGCTCATTGGTATGTTTCTTATCCTTTCTTACTTCCTACGGCCACAGGAAAACATGCAGTGCCAGCTAAGGATAACCAAAAGGTAGCTGCACATTACTGTAAAAACATGGCTTACAGTGTTGTATTAATCCTTTAATAATGTTGAGCTTTTGGACCACTGCTCCTTTATAGCTTTTCCTCGGAAACACTCAAGAGTCTCCATAGAGACTGCTACTCTTCTGCAATATGAGGTAATGGCCAACTTGCTGCTTCTGCAGTAAACACAGGTGATCGAAACTGAAACCACCTCTTTCCAAAAATATTCAGTATCTTAAAATATGCATAGCAAAAGACAGACGACGATGTGTGTGAATTTCTCTGTTTCATACAGTGCATGAGTATTAAAATTAACCAGCAAAAAGCCAAAGATATGAATGAAATCAGTGCTAGTTACAACCTGCAGAGGCCTGGTTGATTCATGATACGTAATTTACCTTTTTTGAACCACACAGTCACATCAGAAAGTCCTCAAAGCAAACATTTACTACTCATTTCATTGCTGCTTCCTCCTACAACACACCTCTGATCTCCCCTGTGACCAATAGAGCATGTGTGGGATTTTCTGAGGAGGTCAAAATAGCAGTGAGCTCCTTGTAGTGCCCACTTGACTTCACCAGGCTTCTCTTTTTGCCCCCATCAGATCCACATGCCTCACCTCCTAGCAGAGAACCATCTTTCATGTGATTTTGTGGGTGTCAAGTATTTGCCATTAGCAAATTCACTATAACTCATGTTTATTGTGCACCTAAATTCCAAGCACTTCCCAAATAGTAGAAACATGAACAAGACTTCTCTGTTCCCAGAGCTTAGTCTGGTGCTCTACTGAAGGAAGTGGAAGGTATGCTTGGGAGAGGCTAACAACTAGAGAAGAAGCCTCAAGGGTGGTTGTTAGGAGATAGTATCTAAAGTAAACCTGAGAATGAGTCAAGAAGGATGGAGCAAGGCATACAGGGCAGGTGGAACAGCCTCTGCAAAAGCTGTTAAGTCAGAACAAGTGGAGCTGAAGTACTGGGTAGAGTAGTAAGATCTACAAAGGAGCAGATCAGAAGTGCTTTTTATGCCATATTAAGAATTGGATTTTGCGGGGGAAGGGGGTGTAGAGAATGATGGAGGTAAATTGAACTATGATATTTTTGATCTATTATAAGAACTTTTGTAAATACCACAGTGTACCCCCCAGCACAATAAAAAAAAAAGGATTTTTTTAAAATTATATGAACAGACAGGCATGGTGTTACACATCTTTAATCCCAACACTCAGGAAGTTAAGGCAGAAGGATTGAGAGTTCAAGGCCAGCCTGAACTACTTACTAAACCCTGCCTCAAAAAAAATAAAGAAATTCCACTATTGGGCTGGTGATATAGCTCTCAAGGATAGAGCACTTGCCCTGGTTTTGATCTCTAGCACTATTGGGCTGGTGATATAGCTCTCAAGGATAGAGCACTTGCCCTGGTTTTGATCTCTAGCACTACAAAGAAAAGAAGGAAGGAGGGAAAAGAAAAAGACTAATGGAAACCAGCCAGCCTCAACCACCATCCTCCTGAGTGCCACCTGAGTAGCTGGGAGTACAGGTGTGAGCCACCGTACCTAGCTGCTCTCTACATTCCCAAAGCACTTGCACTTCCTATCTCATGTAGTCCTTAAATTTCCTCTAAGGTACATGGCATGAATGATATACCTGTTTAACAAGTCAGGAGCATGGCTAGAACCCCATGAGTTAAAACTGTAATAATGAGCCCCTGATTCAGTGTGGGTCCCAACTTGACTCATGACCACAGTTCCTTCTGTATCAGTTTGCTTATATTTTCTATTCTCTATATTCTTTGCTTATGTTTAAGACTTTAAGACTTACTGTCCCTTTAGATGCAGCTTCCCTAATACTTTTTTTTTCAAGTGCAGGGATTTGAACTCAGGGCTACACCTTGAGCCACTCCACCAGCCCTGGGATCTTGCAATCTACCCAGGCTGACTTTGAACTGGACTCTGCCTCCTTAGTAGCTAGGATTACAGGTGTGAGCCACCAGCGCTGGCTTCCCTAATCTTATGTCAGATAATACATAAGAATTCTTACTATTTCCTAATAAGTGTGGTTTTATTTCTACCAGGACATGAATTGGTACAGTTGTGATCACTCTTGTGATGAACACAGTAACATCACAGATGTAGTTCTACCAGATATACCTTAGCAGGGAACTTACACTAGACCTGCTTGCCAAACGAAAGACTCTCATACTAATAAAACATGGGATGTGCCTGGCCCTTGACAATCTATCTGCCTTTGGCCTGGCCTTAGCCTCACTTTGCTACCAAACATTGTTTCCACCACAATTTCTAATCAGTTCCCACACAAACCCAGCTAGAGAGCTCACATTACATTGTTGATTGTATGCCCAGTGCCTCTGATTGCTTGAGTTTTTTACCAGTCACCAGGTCAGTCATTCCCCTTTACTTTTTGACAGTTTTGTCTGCTGGCTTGCTTACTGTCCCTCAACAACACTACTTCTACCTTAATTCTTGGTGATTTCAAATCATACACATTGGTCAGTAGTTTCCAAAGTATGATCCCTGGACCACAGCAGCATCAGCATCACTAGAGATCTTAGCAATGAAAATTTCCAGAAACTGCAAGTGGAATCTTGCAATCCATGTTTTAATTGGCTCTCCAGGTAATTCTGACGAATGCTTAAGTTTGAGAACCATTGACATACATGATCCAAAACAGCCTGACTCCTCATTTCCCCTAAAAACAATGATATCTTTGCCTCCCCCCTTTTTAAGTAGTGCTGAATGGCTGAACCCAGAGCCTCATGCATGCTAAGCAAACGCTCTACCACTGAGCTATACTCTCATCCCATCTTCCCCTTCTTGGGAACTGATTCCCATGTCATTACCAAAACACCATCCCTTTCTCTAACCACCTATTTCCAGCCCATTTCCTCAAAGACCCCAAATATGTTAATTCTGATTCACCATGACCATCAGCAAATGGATCATTCCAATCTCCCTCAACCCCTTTCATCTTTTTCATCCTTCCCAACTTACTTATAGTCCATAGCCAATCATGATCATTCCCTTGAATGTACCTTCAACTTCCTTGCCTCTCATTCTCCATGGCACTCATTTGCAAAGTCACATGACTAAATCCAACTTCTGACTGCTCTGTGCTTGCATCCATGAAGCTGAAGCAAACAAAGTGACTCTAGTTTCATTTCATATTTATAATCAGAACCTCAAGACAGCATTTCATAATACCTGCCAATCATTCATACTGTATTTCTTTGGACCATGATTATTTCCATCAACAGATGATCTTACTTCCTACTTAACTAAGAAAATGTAAGCAAGTGGAGAACTTCCACTTCCGAAACCTCATCTACACACCTACCAGTATTTGCACCCATATAAATATAGATGCAGGAGTGACTCAGCTGGCATCAGCTCTGGAGCAGTGTCAGCCTGCAGGCCTTTAGGCAGTGAGTCCCCCAGGCCTGCATCTCCCTCTGTGGCAAATTGCCACTAAACCCTGCTGTTTATCAGCCTAGTACCAAGCACAGTAAGCGGTATGCTTTGCCTGTACTAAATGGTTCAGATCTCAGGCTCTAAGCACATAGAAGTCACTCAGTGAAAATGTAATGAATAAAATTAATCCATTAATGAATACATTAACTTTTATAACTCCTGTTCCCGCTGCCTTCATTCCTGGCCTCATACCTGGCATCTGTGTTTCACCTTGAAAACCAATTAGTCACCGCTTTTGAGAAGTCTTTTCTGATTTTTCCAAACTGCTTCCCTCTGTCCTTCTATGGATGCTTCTTACAGCATACAACATTGTGCTCTTAATGCTATATTTACATTTATTTCCCTCACTAACCTGTAAGTTTCTTAAGGAAGGTATTGTATCTAATTCACCTTTGTAATCCTAGCCTATCACATTAGCTGGCTTGTATATAGTAGGTTTGCAGACAATGAAACAGCAGACTCTACTTAACTGTGTTTGGTGCTTGGCTGATAAACAGCAGGGTTT